TATGTCTATTATTTGGCCACTAAAAATAATAGATCATTATCCCCCTCTCATCTTCAGCGACACGTTAACAAAAAAATGTGGAGCGTTTAGTAGGGATATGAGAATGGTGGTTAGAATGCAATTCACATCGAAATCGTTCCACATGATCTTCATTAACCCCATCCTGACTCGTTCAGTTCGCCTTTAAGCGCATATGTATGTATGTACAAATACTCCGTCTTTCGTATTTAGTTTCAGTACGCATTACATAAGCTACGGTAGATGAAAGGCATTGGTAAATGATTTGGTTATGAAACTTTTCTTGTTTGCTTTGATCGATTTACTAGCAATGTACTGAGGATATAATATAACAAAACTATGGATATAACAAAACTAAACTTAATTAATTTATTCATGTGTTCATTTCACTTACAAACTTAATTATCATTTCAATATATCAAACTTTTTTTTTTTTTTTTTTTTTTTTTTTTTTTTTTTTTTTTTTTTTTTTGTTGTTCTTATGGGCTTGTTGGCACCTATCGCCGAGCCCGACCGACGAATTCCTTCTCAGGACTCGACGACGGATTGGGTTGGCGTAAAGCATCTCGGCGACGAGCCATAGACGGGCTTCCCGGAACTACAACTGGTGCTGTCGGGATGGGTTCGGTGGATGTATAGAGTAGACTGCGCCGGGGCAGACCGATGGTGCGGATGAATCGTACCGGGCAGGAGGTGGTTGGTTGAACAGTGGTTCGTGGCTGAGTTGGTATTGAGGATGAGAACAGCGTAGACGGTCCCATGGTTGGAGTTCGAATGCTCCGGCCACCATGGTGCAATTGTTGTTGGTACGATCTCAGCAGGTTCCTCGCATGCATGCCCACTTGGGTCAAGAGCGTCAATAGAGTTGGGTCGCCCGTGGCTATTGGTGTGTTGGGTTCGGTCTCGGATACCGGAGTTGCACCCGCCCCCCTGCTTTGCTTCGGTTGGTACGGCTACTGTCTTCGTGTTTCCACGGACTTCCACCTTTGCTGGGGTGACCAGGTTATTCCGTAACGCACGAAGGGATAAACGGTCCTCGCACCGTACCGTGCTACCCGTTTTATGGTAGCATACCAGTCGAAATGCAATGTCCCGGTCGATACTATTGTACACCCGTAAATTTGCTTCGTAGTGAAATGGGTAGTATGGTATACGGAAACCGACAATAAAAGCGGTGTTGTCCAGCATGTTGCGTGGTATGCCTTCGGCCAGTGAAGTTCTGAAGTCGCTGAAGCCGATTTGGTCGGGAGCACTGACACGTAGATACCCGATTGCGGCACGGTGTGTCGGCTCGTCATGCCAATGGGCAAACAGAACGCGAATTTCACTGGCAGTCGTTTGTGCCTCGAATGGGGGTGCATATACATCGAGGATCGAGGACTTCCCTACAACATGCAACCGACAAAAAACCGTTTCGGCTGCCGACAAGTACGGACCAGCTGAGCCCTTGGGGATCACGGCCAATGGGGGTTGTTGCGCTTTAGGGTCGACCTCGAGCGCGAATATCGGCAGCGCATCCTTGTGGTTCCACTTGATGGTTAGGCGCATAAGGTGTTGTACTTGTTGGCCCACCTTCACATACGACGGGAGTACCATGGTTCTACAATTGAAGTTGAGAGTGAATTTGTAGAGGACGGCGAATCGTAAACGGGTGTGGATTTTTATTGCTCCCCACTACACACACCCAACCCCGTTACTACGTGTACCGCTTACCTTGTCCACTTGTCAGTATTAAGCGTGCGTAAAAGTTCGGGTGACCGCGGCAATCCAATAAGTAAAAGTGGCGTCGGTTTTTGCAAATTTCCCTGACGATGTCCCTTTCTGATTGACTAGCGCAACGGCAAAGTTATCGATACGCGATTTACCCGAATGTGGCGGATCGATTGCGCTAGGGATGTGTTTCGAATCTAAGGGAATATCCCATTGGTTTTTGTTTACTAGGAGCCGGGTACCTTGTAATAATGCAAAATCTATCAAGTATGGAGGGCCACCCTATATTCATTGAATTTCTTGAGAAGGCGAAGGTACTGACTAAGTTAACGTGTTGTGATTAAATCGGCGGAATAATTACCAAGCACTCGGTGTTTAGCATCGATCAGTTCATATGAATTCGAACCAAGTTTCCGTGAAACATAGGCTCTAATTTTTGGTGGGGCTAGTTTTTGTGCATAGCCCTCTCCGGCCACAGACTGTTTAGGATTGGGAATGTACACTTCCGAGCCAATTTCGAAATGACGTTCTCTTTTGCGGGTCAATGCTCGTTGTGCGGTTTGTTGATATAGTTCGAACTGTTTGTCTCGAATTTCATCAGCCAGAACTTTACGTTGTTCCACATCCTGGGTATGGTATGGATTTACATCCAATAATAATTTATATTCGTTTCCATCTTTCACATATTCACGACCGGTGTGCAGAAAATATGGCGTGTAGCCCGTGGCTGAATGCACTGAAGTGTTAATATCATGAATAACACGAGAAAGATGGTTTTCCCAGGAGCAGTGTTCAAGAAGATCAGCCATGTGAGCACGTAATCCAAGTTTTATGCTTTTGTTTGTCGCCTCCACCTGATTGGCTTGTGGATGGTACAAAGGGGTTTTCATGTGTTTGATATTATAATCGGCGCAAAGCTTTGCGAAAGTTTGACTGATGAATTGAGTACCATTATCTGATATAATGAGTTCGGGGCAGCCATTCACAGTGAATATATGTCGAAGAGAATTGACTACGGATATAGCGTTTGCATTTTTCATGGGCTGCGCCCAGACATATCGCGAGTAGCAGTCGATGGCTACGAAGATCCATTGGTTACGATTTTTAGACATAGGCAGCTTACCGACGAAGTCAATCGATAATTGACGACCCGGTCGTTTTGGTTCTCTATATTCGCCGTGAGGTGTTTTGGTGCTCTCATTACTTGGTTTAATGCGGTGACATAGTTCACATTGCCGAACGTACTGGTAAACGGACTCATACATGTTTGGCCAGTAATAGCGTTGTGAGATACGTCTGTAAGTTTTCCAAACACCCTGATGCGAATGTTGGTTGTGGTTTTCATCGAGAATTTTGGCTCTCTCAGAAGATGGTACACAAAGTGTCCACAGTATTTCCGCACTTTGATTGGAAAATTTCAATCGATGGTATAGAAGGTTGTTTTCGATTTTGTATCTATCTAATGGTTGTTTTGAGGCCATGGCATGCATTTTGTTGTACCATTTATCGCCAGTATTTGGGTCAATGTTAATCACGGACGTGATTGGGGAAAGATTCACGTGAAAATCACTCGGAAGGTCAATTGGGTTTCTGCGAACGATGTTGAGAAGAGCAAAAGAACGAGATAAGGCGTCAGGAAGTTCCAAATGTTTTCCTGGTTTATGAATAATTTTGAGTTCGTATGGTGACAATCGGATCGCCCAACGACATAAGCGACCAGTTGGATCTTTGAGAGTTTGTAGCCAGCGTAACGCTGCATGATCCGTTACCACAACCAATTCACGACCCTCAAAATATGGACGAAACTTTTCGACCGCTAAGAGAACGGCTAGGCATTCCCGTTCGGATGCTGTGTAATTTTGTTCGGCTTTCGAGAATTTCTTTGAAAAATACTGAACCACCCGTTCATTCCCATCATGTTTTTGTACTAGAACAGCTCCCACCGCGATCAGCGAGGCATCGGTATAAACCTTGAATGGTTTTGAATAATCTGCCATAGTCAGAACGGGAGTAGTAGTTAAATACTCTTTGAGTTTGAGAAAGGCTTGTTCAGCAGCGGTATTCCATTCAATGGGTCCCTTTCGGTTTCCTTTATACAACTCACAAAGGGGAGCTGTGATCTCCGAGAAATTTGGAATAAATTTACGGTACCAGCCTGCTGCACCAACAAACCGTCTGACTTCTTTTGCCGTTTTGGGCCGTGCGAATTCAACAATAGCTCGAATACGAGATGGATTCGCAGATAGACCCTCTTGAGACAAAACGTAACCCAGGAATTCCAATCGTTTACAGCAAAAGTTCGATTTGGATGTTGAGATGGTTAAGCCGGCCCCAGCCAAACGTTTTGCAACAATAGCCAATATCTTAACGTGTTCTTCAAACGTCGAAGTGCAAATTATGAAATCATCCACGTATGCGAATGCATGTGGAACTAAATCCCGGAAAATTTTATCAATGAGAATGGCTAATGTGGCGGGTGAATTTCTCAACCCCATCGTCATGCGACGAAAAGCGTAAAGCCTGTTCCCGAATGCAAATGCTGTTTTCAGTTGGCTCGATTTTGCCAAGGGAATTTGAAAGAAAGCTTGAGACAGATCAATACTGGTTAGGTATTTTGCTGACTTTAGTCGTGCTAAAATCTGGTTAGTATCCGTAATTGGATAGGCATTTGGAACGGTGATTTTATTCAATTCTCTTGCGTCCAAGCATACGCGACAAGTTCCGTCTTTCTTTTTTACAGCCAGAATTGGTGACCGCCAAGGACTTTCTTCGATGGTCATAATGATGTCACGACTACGCATTTTGTCCAGTTCGGCTTGAACTTGTTCAGCCACGTATGGCGATACTGGATACTGGCGTTTCATGACGGGTTTTGCATCACCTGTGTCAATTACGTGTTCGATCTGATTAGTGACATTTAAGGGACCAGACACAGGAGTTGGATTAAAAAGTTTGAGAACGGCGTCCAACATTTGTCTTTGTTCTGGAGTGAGATTATGTGGAAGGCTGACGCTGGTCATTTTTGGTGTATCTATGTCACCGTCTAGACCGAGTGTGGAAGCGTCAATTGGCTCCAGATAACTACTCATAGAAGATAACTGAGCTGGTTCTTTCCCACTCCATTGGTTACAAAAATTAATAAATTCATCCGCCGTAACCATTTCAACTTTCGCGGATGCAACCTCTTCCGTATCACCTTTGGCTGTATTTTTTAAAAATCGCTCCACTTTTTCTTGGTTCTGCACCAGTTCGAAAAAGAAGGCCTCAAGGAATGTCCGTCCCATAATTGGGTGTTTCAGTGAGATCGGAACGACAATAGTTGGCACAATTCGGGTAAGACTACCGACCGTATATAATACATTCACTTTACCAATGGCCTTAAAAGAGATCGAATTATCGGCAAGACCAATGGATGTTTTGGTAGGTTGCAACTGTCCCCATTTGTGCTTCTCATAAAACGTTTGTGATACGACTGTGACTTCGGCTCCACCATCGAGTAAAACCGTATGAGAATGGTTGTTAACCATAACCGTGAGATAATCGCGACAATCGTTCGGAATGTTATAGGTCAAACATTTCTCTGAGATAAAGAAAACATCGCGGAGTCGTGGTTGGTTAACTTGATTAACCGCGTCTTGTTTGTGATTAGGGACTGGAGCTGAAGTAGGTTTGGTAAGTGGTGGTGTTCGTTCAGAACATTTGGTTGATGGTTCTTTGCCATCCCTTTGAGTTTGATTATATTCGTTAAGAATCAGAGTAGAATTATTACTGGAATTCGGGACTGAAGATGTGTCGATTTGTAGAGGGACTTCGGTAGAATGAGGATTATTAGAGACAGTGGATTTAGAAAAAGTTATGGATTCTGAGTACGATGGGCCACTATTCCCAATCGACTCACTTATGCGTTTTTTGAACACGGGCATTGGTCCGACGTCACTCCCGGTCGTATGCATTTGTAGCATATCACCCGATTCGGTTGGGTTCGACACCTTTTGAAGTGATGACCCCACACGAGACATTTTGCACATCGTAAATTTTCGCCCCCCTCAACAGTGAGAAATGGGTCGACGATGGTTCCTGCTTTCGTATCATTCTCATTTCGATTTGTGTCATTTTTATAATCACCGACTGGTTTCGAATCCGTACGTTTCTGAGATGGTTTAAAGGGTTTCTTATGCTTGCCCACGTATGCACATTCCCTGTCATCTGAGTCGGATCCAGGGAACGAAGCGGTATATTCCGAATGTGAAGAATCATCCGGCGAATCATGTAGTGCCGAAATTTCCCGTGGTTCTGATCGCTGTCTATCCGAACGGGTCCTTTCCGGACGGGATGTGGCAACAATGAACGAATGCGGTGCAATTCGCTGAGCGAACTCCCGCAATTGTTCTAACGTGTGGACTTGTCGAGTGTGGACGAGTTCACGAAGATGATCGGATAAGGTACCGATGATGATATCGAGGTGATCCCGTTCATCCAGGCCACAGGCATTACCCTGCAATTGGAATGTCAAGTCATCGATATGTTTCAACAGTGTTTGCGACCGTGGGTCGAATTTAATCTGCGCATATGACATTATTACTTGAGCCCGAGTATGTTTGTTGAGGAAACGAGCACGAAGTTTTGTGCAAAAATCCTGATAATCTCCGAACTTTCTCAGTTCGGTGAAATACCATTGTCGAGCGGCCCCCGTGAGTGTGGGTACCAAACGCGTAACCAATTCATGGTCGGGTACCCCGATCTTATATCGAAATGAGCCAATAATAGCCAAATAATCTTCAACCGATAGAAATTTTTCGTTTACGTGAACGCCATCGAATTGAGCACGTCCCATCCATGATGGTAAGCCTCTAAATTTCCTATCCATTGCATCCGCTTGGGCAGATTCGTCGAATATAGTGGCTTGATTTGGTCGTGATTGCGGTGGACCGGATAGCGAATAATTCGGATATAAATGAGATGGTTCATTAATTGGTTCTTGGGTATGAGACGTTCTAACGCCACGGTAGGTATTGGTCATTTGAGTTTGTAAGGGTGACGGACCAACCAAAGAAACATGAGGAGGATCCACTGATGGTGGTATCCAGGTATGATTCAAGGTCGGTGGCATGGTTTGGTTAATGTCACGAACGTCAGGTATTGTTGGCTGCAAATGAATCCGATCACGGATCATTTGCTGTTGCATCTGTGTTTGTGTTCTCAACAACTCAGACACCATTACAGACAGTTGGTGCAATGAGGGTGTTGGTTCCGTTTCGCCTGACAATGAATTAGGAACTGCTGGTTGAGCATTTGAATTAACCGTACTAGTGGTCAGGGTATACCGTGGTTCAGTTGCCTGAACCGAAATCGAATTTTGAGCTAAACTCATTGTTCCCCGTTCATTATCAAACCCATGGAAAGTCGAGTTCAAACTTAATCGGGAATCGCACGTCGGGATTACCGTATTCGGTGAAGACATCCGAAGCTCACGAATCTTCGATTGAAACCTTCCGACCAGGTCCTCTTGGCGTGGAGCCGATTCAGGTTTTAACTTTAACCGAGCGGTTCGATAACAATAATGTATCATTTGATGAAGGCGACCCTGCGGTGTTAACGCCTCATTTGCATTCAGTTCTCGATATGCTCTCTCACATATTTCCAACTCATTCATTTGGTGTATGGCATGGGATTTTATCAACCATGGTTGGCCAACGTAAGCAGATATTTTACCATTGAGAGCGGTTATTTCGGTGTCGGTCCACTGAACTGGTGCTGGATATAGGTTATATATCTCACCTTCGATCTGTCGCTGTTCGTCTGTCAAATAGGTTGCATCGAGAATGGGAAACAATTCCATGCTGAAAGACTCAAATACAAAACTGTAAACTCAAATTATTAAAAATTCTACCAGTCCGT